TGTCCATCATTTTTTGCACTTGAATGATCCTTCAATCCACTAGAATGGGTGTCATTTGTCGTCTTACATGGTCCTTCAGTGAACATTTCATCCAGTTGTTTTTTGTATTGCTTGAATTCTTCTTCATCTGGAAACTTGGACATAGCTTCTTTAATTTCCATATCAGCCTCTACTCTTGCACTTAAAACGACAGCAATCTTCATAAGTATACGTTGAACATGATCCTGCATTTGTTGATATTTAAATGTATTGGAAAGTGATAAAATAAAGTAATACGTATCATCTATTAATGAACAAGTGACGGTAGTAATGATGCATGATATGGCAGCCGTAATTGAAACATGATTCATTAATTAAGTGTGTTTTAACTGTTTTYAATGCTTAATACAGATTCATTATTTTAACMTTATGAATTCAGATTCATTAGCGAATACTTGCTTAAATGAAACATCTTACGGTGTGTTAAATGAAGTGTGGTTTCATGAAAATATAATGCATAAATCAAACCTCTTTGCTCAAGTGTGTCGGTGTTGATGTTTCACCAACATTCTCTCGATTTGAAGCGTAACGGTGATGAACATCTTCACTTGATTCAGCTTTAGATCGTAGAGGTAGTAGCCCGAACCCTCCGTCTTTAATCTCTGTTGATTGTCGTTTCTTTAACAAATCAAGAGTCCATGATGAGATTGTTTTATTGTTTTATCTACTGCAATACTCTTTCGCCGGTTTTGTCCTAATCCAAATGTTATAAATAATACCATGAAGCTGTTATATATCATTTGATTTTATATAAACAAGTAATGAAACAAAATACACATCATTTATATAGTGAATTCTCACCTATATTTCTAGTTTTTTTATCCGTAATGCAAACTTCATCTACTATCCTTACATGACGTTTGCTTCTTGTGCACATTGAAGGACTTTTTTCATGATCCATTGATGCTGCATTGTACGGTCAATAAGTTCTCTTCAATACAGTATGCATATTTATAAAGAGTAAATGTTAACTCGATCGTATTTAGATAAAACTTACCAATCCCGGATACATTTTCAGTTACTACATCTTTCTTGCCTACACCAGTAACTGTATCTAGATTTGTTTTTGCTCTCTTCCGTCTAGATCTAATTATAACTTCACGACCAAAAAAATGGTTTGGTTATTTCACTTGAATTTTGTGAAATAATTGTTCAATGGAGGAGTAGCATATATGT